TCACTAATACACCGTAAATTGTTTTTGCCCTTCTCCACTTTCAGTTGGCAGTCTGAGCCTTTGTCTTTGATAATTCAAGTTGCCGACTTGCTGGAGGCTGGATAATTGGTCTGTTTTTAAATGTTAATCAACATGATGTTTCCATTTTTATCAGGTTGCTGTAAACACTGTAATTCAAGAGGAGAAGCAATTTCTGAATCATATCATCAAGTCAACGAATATGAAGTGTCTAACTCCGTTGTAAGTCCATTACAAATTTGAGTTCTATATCATCTCTACTCTATTGCCACATTACCATCAAAACTGTCACTATTGATCTTCATCCAGTTGCCACTGACTTCTCCAATGCTTCTTACCAGCCATTATTTTCTGTCAGCAATTGCTCGATTTAGGAGAATAGTTCTCCTTTTTTTGATTGTATTTCATCATGTTTGTTTGGTTGGTCGTCAGGTCGGCTTTGGAAGGTGAATGTGATTCCTTGCAGCTAACCTGTATGCGAAAAGTATATTCGGAGAGGATGCTTTAGTAAATGTGAGCGTGGAGAAACAAGCAGATGGGAAGCTGAGTGGTTACATCAGAATAAGGAGTAAGACTCAAGGCATTGCTCTCAGCCTTGGGGACAAGATCACCCTTAAACAAAAAGGAGGCGCTTGAATTAGATTAAAAATACTTAACAATTTGATAGTCTACCTTTCTTCTTTCCTGATGGCAGTATTTGCATTATTTCAGCAGTGGCCGATGCCTTCTTGGTCATGTCAACTATAGTCTCAATTACTACTTGTATTTTATCTGTTATTTCAATTTTGCTTGTGGAGAAATTGGAAAAATACTGCTAGATACTTGATTGTATCCCAAAACTGGATGACATTTTTTGGCAGCTCATTTGCCCTTGATATATCATAAATTTTTATATAAAACCTCTTCTTTTCTCTCCAATTTACCTTCTTATCCCATTGGGTGGTTCAGATACTTTCCTGGTCGGGGTGTTCTCTTTGCTTTTCATGTCAATAATGAAAGCTGTCGACAGAGGAAGTTGGCCGTAAGAAGAGAAACCGGGATCTGAGCTTGTGCTCATTTTTTTATTCCACTCATATTTTCTGAGAAGTTATGAAGAAGAATCATTTCGAAAGTAATTTCCATATGATCCTGGACTTTTTTTTTTTTTTGGTTCCCATAAGTTTAGGAAAAAAACGAACTTTCTGTAAAAAAATAAATAACAAATTAGGCATAGTAGGCGGGTTCCACTGCCACCACTATAGCTACGAAAAGTGCTTGTATTGATTGGAATTCTCTAAAGCATTAAGATGAACGACCCAGATCATCTCCTTTGCGTCCCCTTTGCGCAAAAGGCTTCAGTGATTAGTTGGGGACCGCCATCGCTATGCGCCCATTTTTCTATTGCTGATGCTCGTTCCTTCCCCTTCTTTCTCTCTCCCCCCTCTCTCTCTACAGGACAGTAACTGCTTCTTTTAGCAGCCGATGGATGGCCCAGAACAAATTCACGGGCAGGTAAATTGCAGAAACTAAGAAGAATCTGAGGCAATAGCCCCGCATCAACATATGATGAGTAAGTAAGCGCACGAGTATCCATCTGCTTCCTTTGCTTCTCTCTTTTCTGGCTGCATCCCCTCGTTCTCAGAATTTTTTTTTTTTTTAATCTGGCTGTTTGATCGCTAATAACCGAGAACCAGGCTTTTTGTGTTCGTGTTTTCCGAGCTCCAAAAAGATCATGTAGAGAAAAATTTCTCACGCCAATCATGGTATCGCATCTTGGTCTTTGGTTTCTGGGTCTGCTCGGATTTATATTGTCATAGTGTGCTTTGCATGTGTTAATTTAACGATCAAGCGATATTCTTCTGCTACTTGTTCGTGGATTTCTAGGGTTTTGGTTGCTGTATTTTGACTTGAGCATCAAACACTTACCGGAATTGCATTTTTGTCCTCTTTGCTATGGAGGGAGGCGGGAAGTTATTGCAGTGGCAAAAACTCCGGATAAGACTAAGAGGGATGAATGGAGCGAAGGAGGGGTGGTGAGTTTATTAGACGTGTATGAAGCGAAATGGACGCTGAGAAATCGCGCCAAGTTGAAGGGAAGTGATTGGGAAGAAATTGCCCGTCAAGTTTCGGCTCGAGGTGGCGGGAAGAAGTCTGGAAAAACCCCTAACCAGTGTAAGAACAAAATTGAGGCCATGAAGAAAAGGTATCGCATAGAATCAGCTGGGAATAACCATGCTGGGTCTGGTCAGTCTTGGCAATTCTATACTAGAATGGACAGATTGGTGAAAGGAACACATTGTTCTCTGCCAAAAGTTGGAGATGTGAATCCCAGTGAGGCGGAAGGAGGTGGGACGGGAGTTTGCAACCTGTGCCACATATACCAGGAGATTTGGAAGATGATACGAAGAAAGTTAATAATAATTGCCCCACGTATGATCAGGCTGTTGAGAACGCTCAAAATTTGAATCCAATGGATGTAGATGAACAAGGTTGTCGTGTTCAGGATAGCAATCAAGATGATGGGTCTAACTCTAACACAGTTCCTAATAATGGTGAATTCACTAGCCCACAGAACAAGGCAGCTCATATGGGTGAGAGATTGTTAAATATAAATTCACCTAAACGTAGGAAGAGCCTGATAAGCAGTGATATAGCAGAGAGTATCCGAATGTTGAGTCATTCAATGATGAAGATTGAACAAGCACGGATGGAAATGTACAGAGAATTAGAACGACTAAGGACAGAGGCAGAGATCAAGCGAGCAGAAATGGACCTTAAGAAGACTGAAATAATTGCTAAAACTCAATTGCAGATTGCCAAGCTCTTCTGTAAGAGGTTTTGCACCAATAATAATATAAGCGAGGGTTCTTTGGCTGCTGAGCATGAAGTTGGAATAAATGCAGAAGAGAGAAATGGTTAGTATTGTTTCTTTTTTCTTCTTTCCCCCCCCCCCCCCTTTTGCTCCTTCCCTTTTCTTTTGTTTTTGGTAATCACTAGCGCATCCATCCATCTGTGACTTTTTATAACTGGCTTGTTGAAGATGAATCTGCATCAGTTTCTCCACCTTGTGAGGTGAATGGCTTTCTTGAATTCTGTGTGTGTTAATTTTACTGCAACTTGTGGATTCCCCATTTGTTTTGCCGGTACCCTTTCTTTGTCTTGAGGATTAGCATCAAATCTCAACAATCATGTCGTTACCTAGCACTGTAGGGCGTTATATTCAACCAACCAAAGTTATCAGGGCATGAACAACGTCTTTGACTGTCTGCTGCATATCTGACTACTACTGCGGTGATGTTATTATATAGGATATTGGTGATGAACCTCTCTTCCTCGTTAGGAGCTTGTTAGCCTATCATTATTACTTCGAGTTTGTGAGGGAGGGTATCTGATGCGCCTCCCCCCGCCCCGAGTTTTTTTTTTTTTGTTGGGGGGGGGGGGGGGTTTTCAATTTTTTAACCAGTTCCTTATGTTTTATCTTTTTTTATAGTTTTAGTATTAATTGGTATCACTCTGTTAGTTCTTGCACAACAAGTCATAACTGTGCTGCCATTAAATTATTACATACGCTCGGGACATTCTGAACCTAGATCCTGCTAAACTTGGCAAATTTATTGTTTAACTCAGACTACGCATGATTTTCTTTTGAATGCATATGTAGTTGAACGCATTGTTCAGATGTTGCCAAGTATTTGAAGATTATTAATTGAATTCCCTGGCACTTGGTGTATTATGTTGCAGGTTGATAACAATGCAATAAACTTTAAAGTTGGACGCCAAGTGTTGGAATGATTATCATAATTCTAGTGCTCGTATGATTTTGTATTCATGTAAAAATTATTACAGAATCTGTAAAGCATAGTGCTGCCCTGTATATATCAAAAACAGGGGAGGTTTTATTATCAGAAGAGGAAAAGGATCTTCTGGTCGTTGTAATTGCAATAACATAAAGTTTGGACCTTTGAATAAAACAGAGGCAACTGTAAGTGTTCATCTTGTTTGATGCCAAGCTAGATTATCCCCATTGCATCTTATGGCGGGCCTGGTCTTCCCCCCCTCCCCCCAAAACAAAAAAGGGGGAAAAAAAAAGAGCCGAAATTCATGCAATTCATTCAATCATTAAGGAGCAGCAAACGACAGTTTATAGCCTATTCAAGTCCAAGGGTGAAAGGCATGGTCAGATACCTAAGCCCCATAAATTGCAAATTTAATGTTCATGCAACCTCTTTTGCGATATAAAATTTAATGGCAGAGCCGACGGCATGGTGAAGAAAAATGGTACAAGTGATGCTAATTTGTGTTTTTTTTTCTGAAAAATTTAGCAACTGTTCTTTTACAATTTTGGAAACATGTTTTTAAAACTAAAACATACCTTTTAAGCGGGACATTTTAAAAGCAAATATTACATTAATTTTTTAGCATATTTTACATGTAATTTTAAAATATATATTTGAAACTGTATTCTTTTTTAAATAATAATTTATGTCCAAGAATTAGTATGTTGAAAGTTGATATAAAAAAGAAAATAAATTAAAAAATCAGTATCGGTATCGAAGTAATAAAATTAAAATACAAAAGACTAAAATTTATATATTACACATACATATCTATACACATAGATATATGTGTGTGTGCATGCATATACATATATATGTATGCGTGTGCGTGTCTTTCTCTTTATACACACACACACATATATAAGAAAAGAACTTTTTTTTAATAGAAATCAAGAAAATGCTTTTGAGACTTAACCTATCCTTGAAACGATACTCAATCTTAAGAATATATACTTCACTTTTTAGAACACATACTTCTAAAATATAGTTTAAAAAAGCAATAATCCTTAGCTTTCGATTTCAAAAACAGAGACATTAACTTTTGATTTGAAAAACAGAGGCATGTGTTTTTGAAATGGTAAAAGAACCACTGCCTACGGTTTAAAACAGAAAAAAGAAGGCCAAAACTTGCCCCGCTCGTCCATAGAATGTACAGGCAGTTAACAGTTACTGTCCTTCAGATGTTATCTTCTTCAATTGTTTCACCTTCTTGAAATCAGGAACTATATAATTCTTTTCCACCTCCCAAGCAAGTTGGGACATACCGTTGAAAGATGATTTCACACCCTTCTCGTCTGCCACTTCTCCGGGGAAAGGAATTCGGACTTCATATATCCCATCTTGAGGAGATGTGAGTCGCATATCAAAGCCTAACCTGTCAACCCAAACCATTTTTGCCTCTGATACCTTCAAAGACCAAACAGTCCCAGTAAGGGAAAAACACACACACAAAAAAAAAGGAAATAGTGTGATCCCAAATACTAAGAAAAGGAAATAAAGGTAAACCTGGAAATCCAAATCTACATATATATTGCAAAAGCGACGAATGTCCTCCATGTTGTGAGTGTTAATCTCATCAATTATTTTTTCTGCAAAGTCTCTAAGTGGATCAGGGTTTGCAGTTTTATAATCTGATGATGGAACCCAGATGCCATCCTGAAATAGTTTAAGACAGCGTATATGTAAGGCAACCACTATGCTTGAACCAGTTATCTTGGCTATGACTAAACTGATAAATGATCTTTATCCACCCATATAGCACAAGTTTGCTTCATAGAATTGAAAACTTGCATACTAATCTCAACATACCTCAGTAAAATCTTCCATCTGAAATACCCGTTCAACAGCAACTACATACAAAAGGTCTTCATTCACTTCTTCTTCAAACTTCTTTTTCCATGTGGAATGAAGCTTCTGCTAAAAGAATAATCCCTGATAACTCAATTAGAAGTTTATTAAAAGTAAATCTTTTATCAGTGCCCTTATCAGATAACAACCTCTGCATGTAGGAGACTCGGGGATCATAAAACCATGCAAAGGACAAGAACTTTTGGCATCAATTGAACCATATTCTCACTCATGCTATAATCAGGAACTAATGTAGTGGTTTTTTTTATATATTTCCATGTTGTTGAACATGCATTCCCTTCTCCTCTATTGTTTTTTTTTTTTTTTTTTGGGGGGGGGGGGGGGTGGTGGTGGTGGGGTTACTCACTGGATGGATTCTCAAAATGCTGGACATCATGGCTTTTATTTATTTTTGATTGGTTAGGATATAAATATTGTATTTCCTCAACGGGTTCTTATCATATATAGAAAGCTGTGCAATTTTGGAACTCCTACACAAATTTGAACGCATTAATCAAAAGTTCTTTCTCCTTCTGATCTTGTAACTTTATGGCGCTCAATCATAAATGCCAGGCCATTTTTTCCCCTTCCCATTTTTCCTTTTGAGGTATAGAAGCATAGTAAAAGCCAGCTTAAGTAGCTTTTTATGAGAACTGGGTACAGTCCCTTAGCAAAACTGCCCCAATATTTGCCTCTGATAATCCTTTCTTTCATTCCCATAACCCTCAAAATTAATCCAAGTCTTTCATACCTTACATTCTCACTAATCTTTCAGCAAGAGAAGCCATTCAGATCAACCAAAAGCCTAACTTTTTTTTTCTCCTTTAGCATATGACATATCTATCCTAACTGCACTTATATACAGAAAAAGCTTGGTTATTTTCTATTCATTTAGCATAGAAATCATGTTTGACATACGCAACTTACTCAAGTTATTCTATTTCAGAACTCAAAATCAAAAATTAATATAACGATATTTGCTGGAGAAGCAATTGATACTGCCTTGGAGGTATTAAAAGCACATCATCTTGGACTAAGTATTCAAGAGATTAGTGATAAATCTATTTGGATTAATCCACCAGACTGTCAATAGACATCATGAACTGAGATCCTTGATTAAACAAAGATAGAATGGACTATCTACAACTATGTTAAGACACATGAAAGACTATAGCCACTGTATAAATGGTATTTGGTGCAATACACACACACACACACACACACAAAAGGTTGACAAGTAAATCGCCAAAACCAAATGCTAAACAAGTATTCTGGGACAAAAAAGGAAGCCAAATGCACAAGCTCAGCCCCATTGTCTGGGGAAGACCAAAGTTATGCACTTTTAAACCCACAAGCAAAGGGACTTTTTCCTAAACAAACAAGTTCTCCAGCCAAGTGGATTTTAGGGCATTCCAACAAATTTGATATCACAGTACAGAATATGTTAGTACGGAATTGTATGCGATCAAATGAACGGAGTGAAGTTTGGCTGTGCTGAAATTCAAGAAATTTTCATTGGCTGATGTATCAATTTTGTCAAGAAGTTTTCGCTTTTAAAATTCAGATTACTTATAACGCAAACCAACTGCTCAAATATCGTTAAAATCCAGCATGTTTAGCCATGAACCAAGATTCGCTAACTATATGATTTTGTTTTAAATATTAAAACTCACCCTCAGGATTTTATCTTCTGGTTTTTCAAGGCTACCTTGGACGGTGCACTGGGGAGTCCGCAACCCACATTGCTCTAGCTGTTTTCCAAAAATATCAGAATATTAATAAAGTACCTATCTAATTTCATAAAACCAGACAAATTAAACAGTGAACGAGTAAATAACTAAATATACACACAATCCCCACCAATCAGCTGTCATGGTTCATGACAAAGAGCGACATTTTGAACTAAATGAAATTCTAACAGAGAAGTTAGCACCTGAACATGGAGGCTGGACCTCCTATCCAGAGAGAATTGCCTGTTGGAGGCATTCAGGCACAAAACTGGGGTGCCTTCTGCATCCACAGCAAAGCGAACGCCTATCCCCAGAGGCCAACCATCTTGGTTCAAAGTTGAAAGAGTACCTACTGAAGACAACTCCATAATTGTTCTAGAAACTTCAGCAGGGAATGGTTTGTGATGGCTCGTGGATTCCATATGGGTGGGCTCCGAAACCACAGACAGAGAACATTTTAGAGGTTTGAACGAAGGCGAAGATTTGCGAGAGGGGCGTGGCCTGGAAGAGCTGAAATGGGTTTTGATAATGGAGCAACCGTTGTTAGAAAGAGGAAGCGAGGGTTTAGAGATATGGATATTGGTGGGAAGAATTGCAGACGGAAGATGGGCTGTGAGGGACTGGGTTTGCGAAAACATTTGATTCGTTAAAATCAATTTTGGGATTAAAGACACCGGAGGCCGTCGGAGAAATCGGAATCAACTCGGACCAAAGAAAAAGAGAGTACAGCAACCGACGGAGTGAACTCTTACGATAACAAGTAGGAAAGAGAGAGAGATGGGAATCGTTTGGGAGCGGTACTGGTGGAGGCTTGGACGTTTCGTTGGGGAGGGTATTTTCGTAGGCGGAGAGTATATTCTTCATTTCTACCATCTTATCGTGAATGGTATTACATAATTACCCTTTTTGACACTACAACTCCGAATTTTGATCATGGTAATCTCATCCGAACAATTGTAAAAAAGTTGAAAAATTTAGCTTTTATTGCCAAAGGAAAGGACATGAAGATTTTTAAAATAATTTTAACCTTTCATTAAAATAATTTATTTATTTTTTGTGATTGATATCGGTATGTAATACATTAAAATATAGAAAAAAAAATAACTTTGTCAAAATTATCAAACATCAAAAGGAAAGAGAAATTTGGAAGATCTTGGCTGAACGTATCAACTGCAAAGTTTCATTGCTGGAGAACATCTTTGTCTGCATAAACAAGTTCCACAGCCGCACCAAAAGAATTAGAAAAATGGTTACAGTGCATACACTCTCTTCCTCAGTATAGGAAGTAATGCGCATCATTAAGTTCAAAACTAGTCTTCAGACGGCCGTTTCCAACACTAACTCAAAGATCCAACATGACCCAGTCAAACCAAAAGAACTACATCATCATTTTTGACACCTGTAACTGTTTCTTGTTAAATACAGTGAAGCTGGTAAGGAAAAACGGAAAACAAAATTTGTTTCAATTCACTGGTTTTCTCCAAAAGCATCCTAACCTTTCACCATCAAGATCTCACGACACAACTTTCGAGGTAGTTTTTCTAATGCCTCACCTTCTTGCCAAGCTTGCCCTATTAATACTCCTGGTCCCACATGCCGAACATATATAAACACCTGATCGTTGAATGGCCATGGATGCTTAGCTGAAAATACAAAAATTTAACCATCATTACAGGGGTACAGGTCCAGGATAACATGCAAAGCAAAACAACATAAATTTTCACAGAACATAAGGGATATAGGTCATGTGCTCTTTTGGACACCAAGCTTTTTTGCGATGTTGTGAAAAAGTAAAATCTTACCATGTAGTTTTGGTTCACGAATTAATTTTGATTTTAAGATGTGAAAGGTTTGGTTATTGCTTTTGGAAAAGTCCAAAAAACTCATCATTTCTACCCAAAAAAAACACAACACAAAATAGAGACATAACTAACCTTAAAATATACATGTATAACTTGAAGCCCATTGAAGCACCGTCAAAGGGCTTCAATGAGAAACCAGATTCAAAGTGATTCAAAGGATTTCCAAAGCCTATGAACAAAATTCCATTTGAATCCAGAAGCTGAAACTCAAAAAGACTGCAAACCAACACATCCTATTTGTGCTTTTTACAAGCTCAAAAACATTAGCAACTGCCTTAGCAGACCTGAGAATGAGGCAAGTAAGAACGAGTTGAAAGGGATCCTATATTGTTCTACCATCCTCTGATGGGTTATTGAAAGGTTAAGGCAGAAGAATTTCAAGGATTTGGGAGGAGAAATCAATCAGGCTTAAGCATAAACAAGAAGAAAATAAAGCAGCCCTGGCCAATCCTAGTTATTTTTATACCTCAATATTCAAATAACCTTATTTTTATTGATGTCATATAAATAACCTTCGGATGAAGCAAATCAGATAGGCTTCTTACGGAAGCACACTTGCTTATTCCAGCTTTCTACCATTGCCTTGCCTGCACCTAAGCTTACATAGAGCTGCTGGCTATACTAGACTTTGCTAACAGAGAATCAGCCCCAGGATGCCTTCTTCAATTTACAAGGTCAAATATTACATTTAGATTTATATTAGATGAACTCCAGTATGGTTCTCAGCTATAAGAAAGTATTGATGAATCATTAGGGGGGAATTAGTATCCATATCAGAGACCTATAAATATGTCAAATTATAGTTTATAAATATAGCCCATATATATTAAAACAATAAACTTACAAGAAATGGAATATTGATTTTCTTTCCATGTATATGTTTTTGTTTTAGGGCATATTATTGAATTGAGGATGTGTAAGCAAAGCCTCTGTTTAAGTGAGAACAAGGCAGGATTTGGCAGGATTTCTGGTTTATCATGAAACTTCTTACTAAAACTTTTAAGAAAGAAAAAACAGCATGCAAGGAACAATAGTATGATTGCAAAAAATAACTCAAATAAGTACAGAAAAAGTGAGAATGCAAGATAACATGAAATAAATCAACTGTCTTGCATTAGCTTTTTTTCTGGATCTCCCACCTGGCCTGGGAAAACCTGGAGGATATTCATGTATATCCAAGAATCCATCTCCAAATTCATACGCTAAGTCACAAGGTTGCTCAGTTGACATTACTTCATTAATTTGTCTCACTGCAAAATACAGTGGAAAGTGGGAATCTACAATTTTACTGATGACTGGTCCACCTGACACATTACAGAAGTTTGTTACAGTATAAATTTCCAATGAATTAAAATCCACTAGTGTATAGGAGCTCGTATCTACAAGCAGCATAATACACAATTGGCACTGGGGCTCAAAATAAATCATAATGTTCAAGCAGCAGGATTGAAAATAGTATGAAATACAAGTTCAATCTTCCAAGCATATATACATGAAGAAACTTCCTAACGAAATAACCACAGCATAGCACGTGAAACTAAGGACAAGGTAATTTCAAAAAATCATCAACAGATATGTGTGCAGGGCTCCTAGCCTCCCCTCCAATATTTTATTGACCATGCCTATTCTTTATTGGGGTCTGTTTCTACAACTACATAATTGAACATTTTAGAATCATCATCTATGCAAAAGTGTGTCCTGAGAACATAATGGGTTCCAGAAAAGCAAAAAGAATCACCTATTAATCGTCCATATGTTGTTGTTCCATCCTTGCAACGGTATATAGCCTGGCTCATTAAAGAAAGCAAAAGGAACAGCATGATTTAAATTTTTGCTCAAAAATGTAGAAAGAAAATAAAGTTTTACTCAAATATATGAAAATATATACCAAAAAAGGAATAAAAAATAATAACAAATGCCTAGTTTAAGTTGAAAGAAGATAGAAAGAGAGAATTCACCTTCTTGAAAGAATTCATCCAAGCAATAGGCACAGGTCCTAGATTCCAATGTTAAAGTATCATAACTTCTAGAATTTTTACATATTAATCATAAAATAGCTATTACAGAAGGAACTAAGGTACACTTCTAATGACTTCCAAACTTTAATCCGTCAAGCCATCAATGCATGTGAGTAAAAATAATATAAGCGATGAGGAACTAACCAGATAAAGGATAAAGAGCAAATATGATGAAGAAAGTACCAACGATACAAGGTAAATATATCAAGCTCTGACTTGATAATAAAAAAGCAAGAACCACATAATCCATTAATTTTACCCTCCTCCTTTGCCAACGTTATACCATTATCGAGTGATCTTGCATATATCCCTTTGAATCCTTTGAATGTGTATGTGCCCTTATTACCTCAAAAACAATATAAGTCGAGCTTAGTATGTTATGAGTGAGTTCAAGCAGGTCAGAAAATAGGACTTAAAAAATGTCAAATGGCATATGAGAGTTTGGGAGTTGTTGGAGTAAAGTCAGTTCACTTCAGAAATAGAGCAATGTAGCAGGAAGTTAAGATACTTGAGTTCCAAAACAATTTCAAGAGAGTATTAGGATCCCCGTGCTCCCTTTAAGAAGGCTTGCATCAGCAGGTGAAGGTAGAAGAACCTAAAGAATTATCCTGCTCTTATTGGATTTTGAAAACGCACAACCAACAAGAGGATGACATATATTTGCTCTTGTACCTCCCTATTAACAAAGTCCTGTAGTCATACTACAACAACAGGAGGCTCAGTGACACCTAGAGAACATACTCAGCTTTGTAAAGAAGCCTTCACTGTTACTCTAATAGCTCGCCCAGAACCTAACAAGTGATTCATCACATAGCACAATTATATAAAATGAGTCACCTCCACTAGTTCGGCAATTCCAAATTCCAGCGAGGGTGAGCCATTTCCACTTAGACAGCAAATTAGATGCACTTTTCTTCAATAGATTAGGATTCTCATACCGTGTACCAGCAATCCCCCAAGCTCTTGATATAAGCCTGCATCAGTGCCAAATTAAAAATGAATAAACAGAGAAAAAGTAAACACCAGCCTCTGATGCTTTATGTCATCATCTGAAACATAGAAAAGAAAAAGAAAGCACCGGGCTAATTCAACAAAAACAAAAACTCCTGTACGTCATTTTTTTTCTTTTCATTTTTTTTTTTTGATATATTCTAATGAGCTCAGCACATTTTTATCTATCAAAGGCTAAAGTGAGATAAGACCTAGGTTTTAGCAGGTGGAGCAACCGATGGCGCCTTTCCTCTGGGACATCTTCAATCTTTTTCCTAACCAGAAAAATATAATTCAAAGCAGGAAACAAAAAGCAAAGTAAAGTTCGAAAAGCTTAATAAAGAGATACCAGAGATAAACCGCGGGATTGAAAGAAGCAGGGTCCAGAGGGATGAGCTCTTTGGGAGGATCGAGAAACGTGATTACGTCCTGCTCATCCAAGTACAGTTTCTTGCCACCAGGCAGTACTTCGTAGGGTTTATCGTCCCACGAGCACGACGAAGACAGCGACGCCTTCGCTCTCCTCCGTCCGTCAATTGTCCCAGGTACTGGATTCAAGTACCTCCGACCATACAAGCCTCGACCTGAATACATGCCCAAGACATAGGTATAGCACACAGAACCAACGAGTAAAATAGAGGAAGTAAGAAAATTGAGGGTTGTGCTGGTCACCATTAAAGGTTTTGAACCCTAGATGTGACCGTTGGTGAAGGATGCTGAAGCTAATCTGGCGGGAAAATTGTGTAGGGAACGCTGTTGGACAGTTGGGGCTCGCCGGATAGCTGCAGGAAGTTGCCTTCATTGCAATGGAAACTATGAGCGGTGGCTTTTACCGAAGAAATTTGATACAAAGCTTTATCAAGAAGTCCACTAATCTCGTTACCTAAAATCCGAGCCTTCTTCTTCTTAGGTTTTTCCTCCTTAAGAAATTCGAGAATTTCATCCAATGAATTTCTCAAATTTTCCCGTCAAATATCTCATCCACTCCGAAAATCCTATGATTTGGAACCCGCCATAACCGATAAATCTAATAAAAGAAAAGAAAATTATTGCTTTTTTAACACGAGTTTGAAAAATGGGTTAGAATCACCTTTGAGTATTTTCAAGAAAAAACGTAATTTAAAATAATAAAAATACCAAATTCCAAATAAATGAGTCCTTATTCACAGAATTGCCCTTCTCCATCAGGGGGCCTTCATTTAGTCATTTTCTGCCAGCACCACTCTTACCCACGGCCCTCCCCCAAGGATAAAAAGGGAAATTTATATGCAGTCTCCATGATGAAGGGCCCGCGTAGAGACATTGCAAGGAGCCTTGACGGTGCCTAGAAGAACGCAAGAACTTTGCCAGAGTTACCGTGCTTTGCGTGGGGACTAAACCAAAAGGCAAAGGCAGCAACCAGATTTAATATATATATATATATATATTTATATTAACACCAACCAAGCACATATCATGGGACATACACAGTTGCTCATTTGACAGTCGTACGCGTGTGTTTCCTTCTCTAGTCTAATGGCGGAGCTGTTACAGCAGAGACAGAACTCACTCAGCAGCAGCCGCGCATTTTAAACGAGTGACCAAAATGAGCCAACAAGACTAAAATCAGAATTTCTTTTGATGTCAACTAAAAGAATGAGGAGAGCAGTAAGACGACGACCTGAACATGGAGCACGTTTAGACTTTAGACTAGGAATGAAAGAGAAAGAAAGGCATGTGGTGGCCTACCACCAGTTTGATCTATTCAATATCTATCTAGCTTTCTATCATATAACAGATCTACTGATAGGAGATGGGTGAATAAATAGGGAGTAGCCTTAGCCGTATGGACCGAACACGTAGATGGACTTTGGTCGCTGTGTTCGTCGATACGCTCCATCAAACAGCAAATCTTGGTTCCAAGATTTTCGTATTGTAACCACGTCTTGTCGATTCGTAAAAGGTTAACGTCTCCATAATTTGATGAGGAGTGAAGACTAGGACAGGGAGTGGGAGGTGAGAGGATTCATATGGGTGGCTGGATAGATCACAGATCTAGAATCTTTGATTCTTGTCCTCATCACCGAGATTACTCGATATCATCAGCTTCCAAGCAATTCCATGTGCTTCCTGCTGAACAAATTACAAAGAACAGGGGATCTGCATTCGTGGCGGTCACAATTCACTGCTGCCCTCTTGTCTGCTAGATCAGCAATATACGAACAAAAAGCACGCAAACGTGTGCTTCATCTGTATGGTTTTGAATTAAATATCCATTTGTCCCTTTTTATTTCTTCTAACTTTTATTTGACCTGTATCAGATTATAAAACATATTTAACAGCCATCTACGGCCTTGATCATTCGAAAAAGGGCATATAAATTAATAAAAGTATTACAAAATCAGACAATAATAAAAAAATTCTAAATTGTATATAATTTATTTTGTAATTTTTATATATTTGGGTCCTTCTGGTTTTTCCAAACAAACCCTTTAAAATTACAAGTGAGACCCACTTTGTTTTTGGCATTCCAATGTCTCCAAATGCATGGAGTAACCGAACAGAGAATCTCAATACCCAAATGCCTGCACCAAATAAAGAAACAAAGAAGGAAATGAAAAATGCTGAACATGAGTTACTAACTGTGAATTAATTGGAAGTCCCTTTAGTAGGTTGTGGTTGTTATGCATTGTAATTAGCAGCTCCGCAACCTCCAGCTTACAAAAATTTATTTGCACAATCTAGTTTTGGAAAAGACAGCTCAGTTCTATTAGGCCCTTTATTAATAACAAAAATTACGAGAACAAATTGCTTAAATTTAATTTTCTTCATTTTAGTTATTAAATTTTTGGCCTCGTAAGAATTTTTAAGGGCAAAAAAATAAATAAAGATGAACGTAAAATTGGAAGTTGAATGGTTGAACGTGAAAGAGAGGAAGAGAAGAGGGAGCACACGAGTCGCCGGAAGGTAGGGGGAAAAGTTTGGCCCACAACTGTGGAAAGCCCGTACTTAAAGAACAGCGATTGATGATTGATGGGCAAAGTAACGGTCAGGATAACTGCAAGTGGTCAAATAGGTCACCAGGTGGGCACACCCCATTCTTCTACCCGTTAAGGAGAAGCTGTGATATCTAAATGGTAACTGTAGCCGTGACACTAACTACTACTTCTCATTCTCGTTGCCTGCCGACACCATTTTCACACACACACACACACACACATCCCCCTCATCCCAACAATTTACAAACACGAGATAGCCAGGTTCAACTACCACTGGAGAGGAGGATAGTGAAACCATGAAAATAAACTTCTTTGGTCCCGTTTTGGGATTTCTAAAAAAATATTAACAAAATAGTATAAATGTATATTACATAGATACATACAGAGAGAGAGAGAAGAGAGAGAGAGAGAGATTGAATTTCAATGAGATAGATTTAATGGGTACAAATTTACAAGTAGTTACAGGTAATTCAATTCTTGGTACAACAGCAGATGCTAAGCTTGATGGTTCCTTTAAAACAGGATAAAAAGCTATCTAATACCAAACCACACCTCAGGCTACAACACAAGGAATGCATAAGGATTTAGAGATGCAAAAAGAAAAAAGACAAAGACCACTCTGCCTCGTACAATAACAGAAATAATCAGAAATAATTAATGAACGGAAGGAGAGGAAGAGGAAGATTTATGATGATAATGGTACCATGTAGAAGATTGACCTATATCATAATAATAATCAAAAGATTGAAGGAAAGCAATTTATAAAGGAAATGGGAGGAAATTTTCTATGGCAAGTGGAGACAATACCAAATGAGAAGACAAAACTGCTTATTTGGAGTGGCAGGTTAGCTGCATCAGCCAAGCAAAGGATAAATTTATCCAGCATCCCAAATAAATATTCTAGTATAATTTTGCAACTGCAAACCGATAGAGGAGTTTAATTAACTTAATTTTTTTCCCCAAGTTTTCCCTTTATTTTTACCTGCCTCTTTTCCTTCTTGAACTTTTAGTCCTTCCCAGGGTTGGCTCAGCTTACTTGTTCACCAATGAGGTCAAGACCCATAAGAAGGAATGACACACCTTGAAACAGTAAGAAGTAGAAGTGCACTCCTTGTGCAGATAAAAGGCTCCTGAGGGCAGCGGTAAGTAGTAAGAAAGCCAAGGCAAGCTCTTTCTTGTATATCCTGTTCATTTTCTTCATAGGAGGCTTAGGAGCTGCTTCTTGATGCTCTTTCAATTTGTTTAGTTCAGAAAGCCCACTATCAGAAGCACCTCTATGAAGCTGTGGATGATTCTTGGCCTTAGACTCGCTCTGTTGCAGCCAATAGGTCGGGCTCTGAAGCCCGGCCCGCCTTCTTCGTGACAACCCATTCATAAGAGCTTCCCAACTGGAAGAGTCCGGACACCATGGCATTGAATTTGGTCACAGACATCGTGTTCTCAAACAGAAGGTATGGGCAATAAATGGGACGGATCTAGGTGTAGGAAGAATACTCAAGAATGACATGAAAACAGGAACATAACAAACCACAGAGAGGTATCTCGGCTTCGGAACAAACATGGTTAGAGGAAGGATGATGCAAAACAATGTGAAAGAATAGAATGGCAGAACGAGTTTCCTCAAGAGAAAGAAGAGTAGTATCAAGTTTGCTTTCTTCCAAAATGATATCTGCAACATCATAATCAATTCAAATAAATTTAAGGAAAACACAGTAGAATCAGTAAATAGAAAGAAACTTGAGTCAGAATGATATAGCAAGACAAACCTTAGAAGTGATGATATCTGGAAGGCATAGGCGAAAGAGTTGCATGGGACCAGAATGCACGGTGTTGCTGTTTCTTATAAGCTGCATAAGATTCTGGAACTTCGCAAAGGACCTGAAAATTATTTATGCACAGGAATTATGCATTATTCTTCGAACTTGAGATATGCTTTTGGTTGAACCTCAATTAGTACTAAATGCAAAAACCCAACAATTGCAACTGAAGTTCTAGTTACTGCTAAGACTTCTTGAATTATGTTCAAGTTGTGTTTCATTCTTTCCTTCAAAAACCAGTAGCAAAGAAGTGCGAAAAAGAGATTGATGTAGTAAACTTATATTCCACAGTAGACACAAAAATGAAAAGAATTCACCTTCACATCATTGAGGAAAATAAATTTCCAGCCATTGAGATGAGCACGAACAGCTATATCCATATCCTCTACAGTTGTCCTCTCGAGCCAACCACCAGACTCTTCCAGTGCTCTGATTCTCCATACACCTGCAGTGCATTGAAACCAAAGAAGCTTAGAAAGACCCCATTAACCTGCTGCTCCACCTCAAAGTGGAAGCACAAATTATGTTTTGTAGGCGCGTTAAAAGATTTTCGTCCTTGTTCACAAAAAGCCCATCTGGCCTGAACTAATCCTAATTCAGGATTATCCTGAAACAAAAGATAAAATCTTACATGTTAGCCTATCGCCAAAAGAAATACCACCCGGAGCTGATTCACAGAAATGACATGAATAACAACCACCTTAAAATGCGGAACTGTCTGCTTTAGGAAATCGGGATTTGGTTGGAAATCAGCATCAAAAAATTGCAACAAAACTCGTATGACTTGACATAATCGCAATTCATGGCAGACTTAAGGTTTCCAGCTTTATAGCCAGTTCTAACCAATCGATGCCTGTAGATGATGTTGACACCCTTCTGGCTCCACTTTGAGACCTCTCCCCTGATCAACCACTGAATGCTTTCATCATCAGAGTCGTCAAGAAACTTGAATCAGTAGGCGCTCTTTCGGCCAATCAAGTTGGCATACCGCTGAGATTGATTGTTCGTATACCTGCACGGGTCAATGTTAAAATCACAATCATCACCATTCCAGTGAAATTAAATGCCCCCTGTCAAGGCACCACCGACAATTTTGGGTATCATTCAATCATTTTCTACTGCTATCTTTATCTCTTCTCTAATTCAAAAGGGATGTCTGCAATTTGATAAATAGCTCAAACTACAGATACAAACATAACAGCAAAAAAACAAACCAGTAACAAAAGAATATTGTTGGTAGATTAGCAATTTAGCTTAAAGAGACTTGCCTCTCTCTCATTACACATTGGAATCTGGACAAGAACCATAGGATAGTCATGCCCTGAACCCTCCAAATCCTCAGACTTAAAGGGATCCCTGAGAATTGTGGTTTAATCTTTTTGTACTTGATCCAGAAGCAGCCTAAGCAAAGTATCAGCCTGTCGGCGGACTGAATCAGGAATAGAACGACGCAGAACCTAGAAAGAGCTTGAAGCAGAGGAGCATGTATCTCTTGAGCGAAACTCCAGCCAATATAATACACACCATGAAGCCACCCTGAATCTCCAAGCTCTGTGGGAGGTGCAGATTATGGGGTGTGAAAGTAACGCCAGCCATTGAAGTGAGCAACAACTTCAAAGGCCAGAAACGCCAAGGCGGTGACTAAGAAGCCCAGAATGACCCTGTACAGTAACTTTCCCTTGCCAGATTTTTCGTTCTCCATTGCCCACACCCTTGGCCGAGAATTAACCTTTTCTTGACGGTGCCGAGCAGTTCCCAGAGGAAATTGCCGAGCCAGGCGAGGAAAACCCACGCCGGTGAGCCTTGAGAAGCAAGACCCATGTGAATTGCTTCGCATTTTTGCCCTCTCCTTGTCCACCGGCCTGAATGCGACGTCAGGGCCGTCAATTTCGACGACGGAGTAGTTTGGATTCTCCATCGTGACTATCACCGGAGTTCCCTGTCTGGTGTCCTTCGCCACCACCGAGAAAAGTCTGTGCTCGGAGGCATGATTTCTACTCACAATGAACTCAAAAATCTACAACACGGATCTGAAAATATGAACAAACTAGTGAACTAATTTAAGAGGACAACCCATCAGCTAAGAAACCTCAGAGGCACTCAATAATTTTAGAATCTGTATATCAAATTTGGAAGGCTCAGATACTCAAATAGAATACAACCCCACCAGAACGGATCCGCAGCCTATAATATACAAATCCCCACCACAGACACTTGCATTCCTCGCTCACCCAAATGCAGCATAGAAAAAGCCAGATACAGGAGTCGAGTTGGGGTTCTTCCTTCCCACCATCAGAAGGCTCTCTCTCTCTCTTCTCTCTCCCCGAGCTAGCCTGACATTAGAAATTACCAATATGGGGAGAGCTTATTTGTACTAAAAACCCTAGCATTTTTAGTTAGATTGTTAAATGTATCAAAACCCCGTCCTCACTTTAACTTTCTACAGAACGCCATGGAGGACTGAGTGGAGTTGACGGGATGCTCTCGTTTGGGAAAAAAAGAATTGATGATGATTAGCAAAAGAAGGATAAATAAAAAAAAAAAGCGACAAAACGATGAAGACCCACTGAACAAGAAACTACCAGACCACGTGAGAACAGATAAAAAGAAACCTCTCCTTCGCTAAAGAAGGTAAGAAGAAGCAGAAATGACAGAGGATGGGGCTCCTGAGCTGGAAAGGGAACAGAGGATTTAAATTAATTAAGCTAAATTAATCAGCATTCACAAATAATTTATCAATTTGAAGTCCTGCTAGCGTAAATCCTGCCGGCAATGCAGATCCCGATTGTATTTAAATTTAGCCCGTAACAAATTGTTGTTGGGTGGGAATTGGAAACGCTGGTTACTCTAATTAAATAAAGAAAGAGGAGCTCATAAACACTGAGTCCATAATAGAAAATTAATGCATAAAAAATGGTGATTGGGACTTGCAATACTCGTCTCCTGACTGCAATCAGTCACGAAATGAGCAATTACTTGTCAAAGAAACAAAAGTTGGAGAAGCTGGATTGGCGGGAGCCATTATTCATTACATTTGAACTCGTTTGGTGCTACCAGATGCAGATTGCCACGAGCCTTCCGGCGTTTTTCCGAAGTTAACCTAATTAATTAACTAATTATATAATTTTACTTGGCAGGCAGTGTTGCCGCATAAATTTTATTTGTATTTATGACTCTCCACAGATACTTAAATTTTTTTTATGTGATCTAGTCAATCTCATTAATTAAGGTATTCTACTTTTGAAAATATTATTTATTTATCATGGGTTTGATTTAATTTTTGTTAAAAACAAAGTACAATTTTGTAGTGGTTCTGAGATTTAAGTCCCATGTGAAATTCTTTGTTCTTGCTTTGCCAGTAGTTAAAGGCGATATAAATATAATGCCACTTTGTCCATGCCCCGTGGCAATTGGAGAGGGACAGCAAGGGTTTCAAACCTCAAATTATTCAATATATATATATATATATATAAGAATTCTTCAATGATTCCCCCATTTTGCCATTCAATTTGTTAATATTAATATATATATATTTGTTGATGGGGTTAATCCACTAGTTTTTGAGTTGGTAGGTTTAAATTTGATAATAAAGCTTACTTTAGTTTATTTTTACCTTGTTGTAAAGTCATCTCATTCCGTCTTTTTAAAATTGTACTTGGATCCTAATAGCTTTTACTTTCACCCACTCAAGCTAGGAATCATAACTGGACCCCAAATTGTTCCCCTTTACAACGATGGGTTTCTTCGTGATTCTCTGCGATTACTTTCGCCACCTTTTTACGTGTATTAAGCAAAGCTCTGCGCTATTAGCGATATTGTCATTTACGGGCTCGTTCCATAGTCTGAGTAAAAATGGATAATAATAATTTATTCATTTTTATTCTATTTAATCTATATTTGATAAGTAAAATAAAATAAATTTAATAAAATCTAAATAATAAAGAAATTAGGTAATAGTAGAGTCAAATTTAAATAAATTATATAGAAAGATGGGTTGAATAATTTTATTTGACATTTACTTAATTTTTTTTAACATACTATTTTTACTTCTATTGCTAACCACTACTTTCACCACTTTTATCAAACAAAATAATTATTCAGATTACTGTGCGATCAAGATAATTTATCCAAAATCTGTCATATTCTATCCAATTTATCAAACCTATATTATCTAATTTATCGAACGACCCTACACTAGCATTACTTTCTTGTGCTCCATTTGGCTATACTTATGCGGGGTTTTTTACTTCTTCCAAATAAATAAAACATTTCTCACTTAAAACAGTAAATTTTTTGTGAGGAGGATATAATTAATTAACCATTGGAGTTTTGATTAGCATTAAAATCCAACCACACGTCATTGAATTATGATCAACTTTTATTTTAAACTTCTTTGATAGTAAGCGTATATCTGCCAAAATTCATAATTTAACATGTCTTTAGCAAGTTAGAGTAAATTGAAAAGGTTATGCCAAAATCCAAGCATTACAATAGAAGGATTTTTTAGCATTAATAGTGAAAATCTTGAGAGCTCAACATCCAAACATGTCATAAAATTATTGATTTTTTTTTTGTAAATTAGAAAATAAAATTTAAGTAAAAAAAAAAAAAAAAACTATTGCAAGTTCAACATCCAGGCACGCCAAGAATTTATCCATTTTTGATGGACAAAAATCTGATCAAGTAAGACAAACATTTTATTAAAAAGTTAATATATTTGTTTACACTATACTAAATTTCACCATGACAATATTATAAAAAGATTTTTTCTAATTAAAAAAAAGATCTAAACGAGGAATCTCACAATTTTAAAATTATGAAGTATGAAGACCGGTCTAAAAGTATTTTATGATTTATATTATATACATAAGGTTACGAAGACACGCAGGGGAGCATATTCTTTGCCCATTACCATTCTCACAATTACAATTAAAAATTCTAAAGAAATGCCCTCTCTCCCCCATTTAAATGAAATAAATAATAAGGATTTGGAATTTGGCATATGCTTTTCAGATTCTTCTCTTCCATCGCAGCTAATCTGCTTACATCTGGGGGGTCTGTATGAAATTAAATTTTTAACTCGGGTAAGTTGTCAAATAATGTAACCCACAAGTGTGGTAAAATTTTAATAAATAAAAAAGGAAATAGATACTAATTATCTTCGTAATCCGATGGTCCACAAGATGAAGGCACGCATCTCCAAAGCCTATTCGTTTGCTCTTTTTTAAAAAAATATTTAAATTACTTGGAAAATTATAAAATTTTGTATTTATTAAAATAAAAAATAGTGACGTAATAAAGATTCATATTTACAAATGGTTGTTTAAATCAGTCGTTGGACAGGGGAGGGGGGATGGGAGTGTCCCCCACCGACACCCCAAGGTCACGTTATGCATGAGAGGGAGAGAGGGAGGGAGGTGGTTTTGTGTTTGTGTTGTGAATCGTAAGCATCAACAGCTCCTTCAACCTTCAACCATCAATAATGCAAGTCCCCCCATTTAATGCCCGCGTGGCTTTCCTCTTCTTTTGTACCCTCGCCGGAGGCCCTTGGCCCTATTCTGCTTAAATTACAGGTGTCAGTTCTCTTATTTCTTACTTCTTAACTTTAAACTCAATAAGATTCAAAAATCATATAATTTAAGTTTTTTTTTTTTAAAATTGTCGCAATTAAAATGCAACGTCAGTACAAGTTTAATTCGACTCCACCCAACCTCTATGCCATGTGAGAGCCTCCAATACTTATCATTTATCCACAATGTTAAATTGTTTACACAAGCAAAAAAGGAAAAATAAAAAACCCCGTTAATAATGTGAGTAATGAATTATATTTTTGATATTAAAAGTTTAATTTTTAATTAAAAAAACTAAGATTATATCATATTTATTTTATTTTATAACAGATAAAACATAAAAAAGACAAAGAAAAATCTAAAATGGGTGCTTCAAATTCAAAGTAATAATGCAACGTCAGACACGATAAAGCGGTTAATTCTCTGGCCAGGAGTCAGGGCTGGCCCGACCTATTTTAATCCACGTGCGCCGTTATCTTCGTTAGAGTGAAAATTACAGTACTATTTCTCGGGCACTACTGCAATTTTCTTGAGTCGTACTCCTATTATTGTCACTTCATTAATTAAGTAGGACAGCTCAAAGGTTCCCATTCCTTAGCAGGATATATCAAATTGAAAAATAATATCACCAAAAAAAAAAAAAAACTTTTTTTCCCTCTGTTTTGAGCAGATTGAGAAAATGGGCCATGGCCCCAAAGAAGAACGGGCCATAGACCCGATCATTTTTGTTTCGACAACCACCCGTTCTATATGCTCAATGTTGGGGCCCGACCCACCTTCTTTTATAGCCCAGCCCGTCTTCTTTTAGCTTCTAAAACTCTTACGCCCGCCTTCTTTAGCTAGGGTTTCTAAACTTCTGCAAGCCACCGTCCAGAACTCGGCTGCTTCGTCCACCATGGTGCGTTTCCCGACCGACGACGTTATAGTTTTTTTGTTTTCTTACTTATAATCTTCTTCGTTTGCGTTTTTCTGATATCGGCCCTAAGCGGACACTTGCTTGTTTATTGTTGTTGTATCTGATGAATTATATTTTCAGCCTCAAGGAGATTACATAGAGCTGCACAGGAAGCGACATGGCTATCGCCATGATCACTTCGAGCGCAAAACGTAAGAAGGATGCTCGTGAAGTTCACAAGCGATCCCAAATTGCCAGAAGGTTTAATTTCTTTATTTTGCCTTACCAAATTCTTCTATATGCATATAGGATTCGGCGTCAGTGTCATAATTTGTATTGCAATTTGAATTGAGCAGGCTTTGGGTATCAAGGGTAAGATGTTTGCAAAGAAACGGTATGCAGAAAAGGCCCAAATGAAGAAAACGTAAGTGTCTTTCCTGAAATTTGATGTGATATCATTTTCTGGAGATGGGATGCTGCCCATTAATCACTTTGTTGACCGAGTATCTGAGTTGCTAATTTTGAACCATTTCTGCAGGTTGGCTATGCATGAAGAATCGTCAACCAGGAGAAAGGTGGATGATAATGTTCATGACGGAGCGTTTCCTGCGTATCTTCTTGATCGTGAATCGACAACTCGGGCGAAGGTGTTCTATATTTGCCTAAGATGATTGCCCTTTTTGCACAGTTCTCTCCAATTACTAGTGTTAACAGATAAAGATTATACTTGACAATGAGCTAATGATGATAAATATGTAATGCTGTCTGTAGGTTCTGAGCAACACAATAAAACAAAAGAGAAAAGAGAAAGCTGGTAAATGGGAGGTTCACTACCGAAGGTATGACATACCACAACTGGGCTTATGCTTATGTATAAATTATGTTTAATTTCCGTCCATCTTCCTTAATTTACCTTTTCGTAGCTAGTGTAGCTCTGTCTTCGTAGCAAATTGCGAACTTATACACCGTCATTTTTTGCTACTTCTGTGATCTTTTTGGCTGTTTTCAGGCACGATTGAATCATCTCTTTTAGTATGTCTCAATTTGCTACTTGATTAATGTTGCTTTTTTTCTCTACTGTTATATTATCAACTACTCTGTTCTTCTAGTTCACTTTCGTCTATTACCCGCCACTTCTTTTAGCTGTCTAAATGTTGGCCTCTAGAGAACATTTGGACATATGGCTGATCTGTTAGAGTATTCATCTTTGCTTCATATGTAAATGCCAGGGACATGATATGCTGGTAGAAAATGATTCTTGATAAAGCAAATGATAACTAGGGTTCTATTTCTTTATTCATTTACGATGATGCTTTATTCCTGAAAATTCTGAACCTCTTGACTTCAGGGGTCCTCTTTAGATTCTGTAGTTAGTGATTGTTTAGGTTTAGTTTGATCAGTTAAATAGATATCCCTGTGATTCCATTAAGGCTTTCAGCAAGTCTAGAAGTATTAAATTAAGTATTTTCTGTTGGACCTGCACCTTCCGTTTAAAGGGTTTGTGGTTTGGGTTTTCACAGATCATGTTTTGCTTGATTGTGCAGTTGAATACTGACATAATAATGCAATATTGTAATGTAATAAGGTTGTAATAGAGGATTTTTTTTTCTCCCTTTTTTTTTTTTTTTTTTGTAATTTTCAGGTCAGGCTGTGGCTGAAGATGAGATGTTTAGAGTCATCAAGTCTGGTAAAAGAAAAAGTAAGTATTATTTACCTTTGCTTTGCTAATTTGAATTTTTGTGATATCAATGATATACGGCTTTAAGTTCTTTACTTGGGCATGTTTCCTGATATTGATTTTTTGGGCATGTGATTTCTAATTTATTTATTGTTGAATGTTTGCACAAAAATATAATAGGTTAGCATGTTTGAGTTTAGGTGAGTTATGCACATCCCAAGTAGGGGGTGTCCTGGTCTTTGTATTTGGGTAGTTGATAACGCAGGTGCTGATTTTTACAGTACCCTCATGCCCTCTCACAACATAAGGTGAGAAGAGGATGAGTGGCACCAATAAAAAACAGCATCTTGGTCTTAGGCATTATCAGCATCCATTAGATTTCTGTTAATCAATTTTGTACTTGGTTTCTCAGGGAAGGTCTAGTTAGTGGTCACTAAAGGCATGAAAAAATACCAAGTTTTTATTTTGTCTTGTTTGTGTTTTCTCTGCAGCCAAGCAGTGGAAGAGGATGGTTACCAAAGCCACATTTGTGGGATCAGGTTTTACGAGAAAACCTCCCAAGTATGAGAGGTTTATTCGTCCTACAGGGTTGCGGTTCACTAAAGCACATGTAACACATCCTGAACTCAAATGCACTTTCAATCTTGAGATTATAGCAGTAAAGAAGAATCCAATGGTCCAATGTACACTTCTCTGGGTGTTTATAACTAAAGGGAACCATCATTGAGGTAAATTTTTTGCTTCAAATGTTCTGTTGTAAAATTCTAGATCATTGTTGTTTCTCTGTTAGTTATTTATGTAACTTTCTAAAAAGATGAGATTATATATCCAATTAGTTGATATTTGATTACTAACATGGCCTTGTTTCAGGTGAATGTCAGCGAACTGGGTCTGGTGACTCCAGCTGGAAAAGTTGTTTGGGGTGAGTTATTCCTTGGGTATTTTGTTGCCTATAACATTCAGTTTGACATTGAGTTGGTTAAAGTGGGGAAGAGGGTTTTTTTTTTTGGAGAATGGGGGAGGGGGGCACTTAGCTTGTTTGACCTTCCCCCTTCGTGTTTGAACAAGGGGATAATCACGTCAAATGTCTTATTCAGTGAAGAAATATAAACAGAAGGTGCAACTTTTCCCGAGAAAAGGTTTAAGGCCACATATTGCTTCACCAACACTAGCAAATCCCCTCCAGTAAAGGAAAAAGAATAAAAGAGAGAGTTTTTGACTTTAACCAACAATATTCTGTATTAAGTCAGACTTGAAAAACTTTCGGAAATTTTTTTTTTTCCATGCACCTGGGTGGTTTTCTCATTTACTGTAATATTGTTGATGCAGGGAAAATTTGCTCAAGTCACAAATAATCCAGAGAATGATGGCTGTATAAATGCGGTGCTTCTAGTGTGAAGGATTGTCAAAACACTTGGTCAGCTGGTTCACTTATTTCTTACTTTTTTACACCTTTTCCCTGTGACTGTGAGCGCATAGCAGTTAATTTCAGGCGGCTGTATTAAGTTGGAGTACCAATTGTAATATTAGGTGGAGTTTGCCCGAACATTTCATTTTTATAAAGAAGATAACTTAAATTTTGTCAATGGTATTCTATTTACTGGTTTGAGAATGACATTGCATTTGGAGGTTGGGACCTTTCTAGTGGCACTTTCATAATAGAGGTTGTTTACAAAAACTATAGATATAGGATCATATGTTCAGCTTTTGGCTGTGTAAAGAGCATATTTTTGAGAAGAGCGGTTTATCCCCCCCATCTCCAGATGGCTTGGCGGCAAACCTCTCAAGCCCTGTTATATCTCTCTCTGCACTCTTGATTCCATTTTCGTTTGCTGGCTCAAAAATAGGGCTTCTTTATATGTGAATTTAATTTATGCGCTGCTTGTTTAATTTCTTTATGACAATGTTGCCTTCCCCATTAAAAACTGTTTGTTGATTGTTCATGTGCTTAGGGTTCTATCATTTTAGTGAGCCTCTCTTAATGACCTTCATTGATGGATTTTGACGTATTATTTTTCATTTGCATATATTTTCAAGAGTAGTGTTGAAACATAATGCTTGTCATTTCTGAATCTGCTGATGTTTGGTGGTGTTACCAAGAGATCAAACAAACAAGACGCATCTTTCCTAGGATGGGAGAAATTAACTCCCTCTTGTAATGACAACGGAAAACGAGGGTAAAAATGGAAATGAAAACAGTGGTCTCCCCTATGAGACAATTCCTTGCCTTTCCATCCTCATTTATGTTTACTTCAACTCATAATTTTATGTTGTATCACATTTCCCTTCTTATCTTCATTCCCCAAACTTCTAGAAAGGCAACTTAACAGGCAGTAAAGTGGGATTATGACTTGGTCCAGGCACAGAAGCAGGGTAAACCTAGCAGCCTTTTTGGCTATATAATTTATTATCATTATTATTTGAAGTCAACGAACCTTCATGCAAATTTTCTGCAGTATAGTTCGGGTTCCCTGTGTGGTAAATTACTCCTGATGTTAAAATCTTAATGCTAGAACTTATTAGTGGCTTATAGTTAAGTGCGTTGCCTACTTGAGAGGTAAGAAGTTATGATATTTTATTGAAAAATGTGGTAATCAATTTCATTGGCAAGTCAGACTTCAGCAAGAAACAGAGGAAAATAGAAGTCATTCAGAAGAGGTATTTGATAATGAAATGTGTCGTTGGAGAAAATGGAAAGCAAATGTGTGGGTTTGTCTAACGGGCGTTAAATTTTATAATGTTACCATCGTTGCTCCAGATCATCCACTGTTTGACAGACATTGTTAGGTATTATATTTAGCAATACTGTTATTGGTGCAAATTAACTACAGCATTTTCTGCCCCTGGAGATTGAGCGAGACTGGACAAGTTATAGGGTTCTTTTTACTGATGAATCATCACCTTTTCTGTTCATCAGCTAATCGATCTGATTCTTTTAAAGACATTGGTGCCTAACTCCTAGTTGGGAAGTTCATTTCCGACGAAATTTCCAGTTTAGTTTTATTCTCAATGTGTGATCTCTAATGCATGGGAACTGAGCTTTTAGTTATGCTGCTCCTCTTGGTGCAAACCTTTTTTCATCTTCGATGTGTTTCAGATTCCATCCTGGTTTAGATTGTAATGTTATATTGCTCTAAAGGAATTTGCAGGGTGGGGGGGGGGGGGGGGGGGGGGGGGGGTTTGTTGTTTGGCGCCCAGTGGTTGTTTGAAGCAGTAACCAACCTCCAATTACAGATGTGAGGTGGTGGTGGTTAACGGAAGCGTATTTTGAAAGCTTGCTTTAAGAACAACTCTTAGGTGGATATCTTGCACATGTCATCTGGTCTTTTATTAAATGGGTTTTCTTTTTTTTTTTTTTTTTTTTTTTTTTTTTTTTTTTCTTTTTTGTGAAAAGAAGAAAAGATAAAGGGGGTGTTTGGCACTCCCAAGCTCCAAAATTTTAAGGCTAGAAGTCCAGATTTAAAATCTTAATATCAAATATCTTCAAAACCTGTCATTGCATAACTTTGTTTTCTACCAGCTTATGGGTCACCCGGCTGCTTTTTAGTTTTCATCCTTTGCTTGGAAGGGTCGTCGAAAATTCCAATTCCAAAGTTGCCACCTCATCTTTCTTTGCAGACGTGTTCTTCCCCTATGAGAGAGGAGAGGAGGAGAAAAGAAAAGAAAGATACAAGCATAGAAGAATAGAAAAGTCGTGGCTGATTACAAAAAGTGAAAGGTAGTTGTGAAGGCACAGCGGAAGGCAACAATGCAGAGGACCAAACATTCCTGGACTTATTTGGAGGCATTCGAAATGGGGCAGAGAGGTACTAGTCAAGCAGTCAATTCTCTCCTCACTGCCCATTACCTGAATTTATAAAAACTTGGAAAGGGGTTGAAATTCACAAGCAGAATGCAGGAGACCGGGGAAAATACACAAGTAAACCTCGTCGTTGATTTTATATATGAGAGTTTCTGTTGGTTTCATTATGAAAAGCATTTACTTACGTAATAATTAATCAACGGACAAGAATCATCCGGGTCCTGGACCTAGGAGTTGAAATTCCACCCTGGACACTGTGGACTGCGGCATCATATATAGTCGGAACTTGAAAGTACTCTTTTACCCCCCATCCGCCACATGTTCTAAAAATTATACGAAGTTAGAATTCGCTGTCTTCCCTTGGCTCCAATTAGATGTCCACCACCTAGGTATCTTATCATGTAGAGTATAATATTATTATTATGCCAACCAAACCGAATCATCCTTCAATTAAATCATTAAATTTTTAATAATTATTTTTCTCTTCTCCAGTAAAATAATAATAAAAAAAGCTTCCAAAATTTACTGATGCCCTCAAAATCACCAATTTGTTATCTTTTGAAGATAAGATCTTATAAAATCCATTCCATTATTTATTTATTTGTTCAGAAAAAAGGAAGATACGGTAAAAAATTTATTTAATTGATAAAATCTTTCTTTTTGGAGATATCCAAATATCTGACGTTAACAGCTGACAGGCCAGCTTCGCCGCTCTTTTTACCTCTTTACCGGTTGCAGCAGTCAAACCTCTTCCCCGCTTCCGGTAGAGAGAGAAGGCGGAGTTGCGCTGGCGAGCCACCAAACTTGTCAAATTTGTTTCCCTTGCGATTCCGCCAACACGCTCGCGTAGGGATCGCCCAGTTGCTGATCTCTTCGACTTCTTCCATGGCAGCAATCGTTGGCTATTTGCTCAACAATCTTGCTCTCCGTTTTTATCCTCAGATCTGAACACCTGCTATCCTTTCACGCCAATCATTTCCTTCGGATATTTTGCTTTCCAAATCGAGCCTAAATTTCGGTTGATCTGGTCTGCTGCTGAAACCAAATACAATTAATGGCTTCGGCAAAGTCGTCTCGGTCAAGGGGAATGACTGGCACCCCCGCCAAGAGCAATCCCAAGGATACCGCCAACAAGCTCGAGGAGAATCTCAACGTGTTCAAGTCCGATAAGTTCGACGCGATGGCTATGTTCAGTCCAAGTGTAACTCCTTGAACGAGAAGGTCAGAAATTCGCACATTCACCCCGTTTTTATTGCCACGACATCCATTAATTAATGGAGATAAAATTTTTTAGCTAGTGCTTATATTGGGCATTATTTGGTTTAGATTATGATATCCATCGTTTTAAGTTGTATAATTGGAACTGCGTTTTCATTTTTTGAACCCTTTAGCGATTTAACAATAAAAGACTACGCTACTCTTGATCTTAAAACTGCAAATAATTTTCTAATAACAACCAGGTGAAATGAAAACTAACGACTTATGCTCATCTTCGTGGACCTTATTTCGCAATTCTGATTATCAAGTACCATGGTTTCATTTAAGTAGATACATGTGGTCGCTAAATACATCAGTACAACCGCATTTTTTAGTTGGTGCAAAACCAATCTTTGGGCAGGGCACAGTTTTTACTACAAGTAAAGTAAACTCTCTGAAACATCATATGTCTGATACTCCAGCTGTTTCCCTTGGGAAATAAAACGATTTTCTTAACCACATTTTAGGAGCTAATTATAAAATTTGGTATATTTTGCGTATAGTAATTAACAGTTTCAGCTTGTTAGTTGTAACTGGATACTAATTTCTTTTAACTCCAAGGAAATAATATTTGCATGGAATGACGGCTCTTTGAGAGGATTCTCCTTTGTTAAGCATATGGCTTTTATTAAGTATCACATTAAAAGTGACGTTTGAATAGATCTTATTTGGGGAAGGAACATGAATAGAATAAATCTCAAATCAACTATTAATGTTGTTTTATTTTTTTTCTCGACTTTTGTTGTGATTGTGGCTCTTGTGCTAGTCTGCAAACTTCACCATATTGTTCAGTTTTATCCGACTCTGGGGATAGAAGCAAGAATGCTGGGAATGCTTTCTACTATGTTAATTAAGACTTTGTATCGACTAGGAAAGAAACTATAATTTGCTTGATATTTATTAATGTTGTTTACAGGAAATAAGGCAATTATGCTCATATCTTTTGGATTTAAAGCGTGCTTCAGCTGAGGAAATGCGTAGAAGTGTCTATGCTAACTACACAGCATTCATTCGGTGAGTTCTTTAGTAACTGTTAGTTGGATATCTCATCTGTAGCATCTGTTCTATGCCTTTCCTTGACATCATAAATGGAAGCCAATATACAACACTTTCACTGATATGGTATCTAGGAAGGGTCAGATGCACGCAACTATTGTACAACATCCTTTCCTATGTTTTCTCAACTGCAATTAATTTTTTAACATTCTTCATATGTTGCTACAAAATCTAGAATTGCTTCCTTAACATCATCTTTATTTCCACAGGCCTGTTAAGCATATATTATGTCTGCTCTACACAACTTTTGCACATGTAGATTAAGGGATCCTCTTTTAAATAATTGTTTTCCTTGAGATATTTCCATCATCCTAAATTTTGTCTTCTCTTGACATTGAGGCAGTTTTGGCTTAATTTTTTAGCATATTATTTATCCTCATGTGCATGTGCTCTTCCTCCTCAAAGATGTTCTCGTGAATTCTTTAACTATTTTTCCAATGTAGCATGTATTTAAATTCTATTTTCCTTTTATTTATTTATTTATTCTTTTTGCGTTAATAGCACATCAAAAGAGATATCAGATTTAGAGGGGGAGCTTTCGTCAATGAGAAATCTGCTATCTACTCAGGCAACTTTGATTCATGGTTTAGCAGAGGGGGTTCATGTTGATTCACTGTCTACCTGTGTTCCTGATAGTTCTATTGCTGATGAATTGTCTAATTATGAACTGAAAGAACCTTCAGATCTAGAGAAGCGGTTGAAGGAGTTTCCTGATTTACTTGATGTTCTGTTAGCTGAGAGGAGAGTGGAAGAAGCTCTTGAAACCCTTGATGAAGGGGAACACATAGTTTCTGAAGCAAAAGAAAAGAAATCATTGAGTCCAACTGTACTTTTGTCGCTGCAAACTGCTATTATTGAACATAGACAAAAGTTAGCAGATCAGCTTGCTGAAGCCGCTTGCCAACCTTCTACACGTGCAGTGAGCTACGTGCTGCTATTTCAGCCCTTAAAAAGCTTGGGGATGGCCCTCGTGCTCATAGTTTGTTGCTCAATGCACATTTTCAAAGATATCAGTATAACATGCAAAGCCTTCGTCCCTCGAGCACCTCATATGGAGGCGCATATACTGCTGCACTTTCACAGCTTGTGTTCTCTGCCATTGCTCAAGCAGCCAGTGATTCTTCTGCTATATTTGGTAAAGAGCCAGCCTACACTTCTGAGCTTGTGATGTGGGCAACAAAGCAAATTGAGGCTTTTGCTCTCCTAGTAAAAAGACATGCATTAGCTTCATCTGCAGCTGCTGGAGGTTTAAGGGCTGCAGCTGAGTGTGTGCAAATAGCTTTGGGTCATTGTACCTTGCTGGAAGCTCGTGGCTTGGCACTCTGCCCTGTGCTTCTGAAACTCTTCAGACCTAGTGTTGAACAAGCACTAGATGCTAACATAAAGCGTATTGAAGAGAGCACTGCAGCCATGGCTGCTGCTGATGATTGGGAACTTACTTACCCTCCTGTTACACGTCAATCTGGCAGATCTTCAAGTTCATCTCTTGGTGCTTCGGCATATCAGCATAAACTTTCTAGTAGTGCCCATCGGTTCAATCTGATGGTTCAGGTGAGAAAGCTTCGATTGCAATTTCTCTGAAAATAGTTGTCTGCTTTTATCTGTCTGAACACTTTTGACATCACAAATTTATTTTGCCTTGCTATGTTATGTAAGCCATATTTTCCACCTATCCATACTTTAATTGTCTACTTTCATCCCTTTTGTTTCCTTGTCCCTTCTTTTTCTTCTTCTTCCCTTCTCCTTCTCTTTGGTTAGTTTTTGGGGAGGAGGGTTTATCAACTTATCAATTTAGTCAAATCTTGGTTTAGTTACAGAAAAATTTCAATTAGGATATTCACTACTATACTGGACGCACTTCTGGAATTTAAGTTTTTCAGATATTTGATATCCCTGAAGCATTCCTAAATCTCCTCAGGAACCATGTCTGTGAAGCATTCTGCACTCTCTAAAATCCTTTTTCAATTCTTCTGATGCACAAAGTTCCTGTCTTTTTTCTTTATGTCTTAATATATTTGAAATATGCTCTCTTCATAATAACTTAAAAACCTAACATATATTTAAGGATGTGAGAATTGATATGGGGTTTTGACTGAAATGCATGTGCAGACGATGCAGGTGTTCATATGAACTTGACTGACCTACTTTGTCTTTGGTGCTGTGTATTCTCCAATGTCTCCTTGTGGTTTTATTTTTTTATCTTCAGATGCATTTTGGATTCCTAACTGTTCACACCTTGCTGTTTAGATAGTCTTAAATGACAGTTAAGTACCTAGATAGTTGAATGATGTGATTTACTCGCATCCTTACTGATTGAGATTGCTTGAGAAGTTGTCTTCCATTTTAATACTTTTGCATTACTTGATTAATCCTATCATGCGATTTCTCAAATGTTTACTTCTTCAAGTGTCTTGAGAAATGGGTAATGATTTTGAGCTTGTTCATGTTTGAGAACTGGGCATTGGTCTTTAACGCTCTATTCAATTTTCTTATATGGTATAATAATTTGTGAATGTTGATGATCTGTACCTCCGATTGCTTTTGCTGATGTTTTAGCTGATTTTGCAGGATTTCTTTGAGGATGTAGGACCCCTGCTGAGCATGCAATTAGGTGGCAAAACATTGGAAGGTTTGTTCCAGGTATTTAATTCATATGTTAGCATGCTTATAAAAGCATTACCTGGTTCCATGGAAGAAGAAGCAAACTATGAAGGTTCGGGAAATAAAATTGTTCGAATGGCTGATACCGAAGCCAGCAAATCGCCTTGCTTGCAAATGCATCATTATTAGCAGATGAACTTTTACCTCGTGCAGCCATGAAGCTGACACCATTGTCTCAGGCTAACTATAGAGATGATCCTCGTAGAAAACCTGTAGATAGGCAAAACCGTCATCCTGAGCAGAGAGAATGGAGAAGGCGTCTTGTTGCTTCAGTAGATAGGCTAAAGGATAGCTTTTGTAGACAGCATGCTTTGGATCTTATTTTCACTGAGGATGGTGATAGTCATCTTAATGCAGACATGTATATAAACATGGATGGAAATGTAGATGAAATAGAATGGTTTCCCTCCCCAATTTTCCAGGTATCCAAAACATGGGTGCTTTTAGTATTTTGGCTTATGCAAATATTATATAATACCTCTTTCTATCTCTCTCTGCTGCTTCTGGCTTTCACAATATGTTATTATGGGTATATGGGTGCTTTATGCATTCTATTTCTTTGTCTGGGCTATTATTTATCTACCATTATTATTCCTCCTGTTTCTTTGCAACTAGGGTGGCATTTTTTTTTTTTTTTTGGGGGGGGGGGGGGGGGGGTAACTGAATGAATTCAGAAGATTACATGCTTGATTATTGTGACAATGTTTTCTATTAATGCTTAAATCTGCTCATGGTAAATAGTTGGAAAGCTCATCATCTGCCTATGGCAGTGTTTCACATTTTCTATTTTATTATTTTCTCTAAAACATAAATGCAAGTAGCTCATCTAGATCTGCACAATTGTTGCATGTGTGTACGTTTTGAACTTTATCTGACCACTTTGACAATCTCTGAAGTGTTGTTCATCTTCACCATGAAAGCACAGGGAATTTTTCATATATGAAGTGACTATAACATTTTGCTATTATGTTGACTCAGTTTTGCTTGGATTGCCTACTATACATTGTTTGGCTGGTCCCTAATAGTTTACTATTTTGCATTGTTGATAATTAATATGTTGTAAGTAGTTCTTTACCATTTAGTGGTATATGTATGCCAGAACATAATCCCATTTTCTGTTGCGAGATTATGTTCATCCTGAATGCATAGGGAGTCTTGCAGATCTGAAGTGACTAATATTTTACTGTTATGTTGATTCAGTTATGGTTTGATTGCCTAATTTACTTTGTTTGGCTGTTCCTAATAGTTTAAGCTTTTGCAACAATGTTGATTTAATATGTTGTAAAGATTATTTCTTCCATCTGTTAGTGCCTATTTTTTCTTTGAAATGCATGTTTTTAGATAACGTTTTTATGTATTGATTCTCTAAAATCATGCACATATGTAGAGTACTACTTGGGTTAATGTGGTGATATTTGATTGTTCATCATAGTGATTTCAATAATTTCTCATTTTTTTACTTAGTCTTGCTCCTCCGGGAGCTTAGAACCTAGTTTATTAGTTGACAAATGTAGAAGTCAGGATGAAGTATGGGAAACCATGTCATACAAATGTCAGGTGTGGGTATCTGCCCATGGATACTGCTGTCATATTTAGTCTACAATAGAAGACAATGGCATTGGATTATATTTTAGTTGTAGAAGATTACAGGTAATACAGCTGAGAAGTGTTGAGGTTGGGAAAAGTTTAAAATAACAAAAATAAAGAGCATATTGTGATGTGGTTTGATCATGCTGGACTACTTCCATGACAGAGACTCGATGCTCTGACCTGGTGGGCTTTGGGTGTGGCCTGTCATCACTCTCCTCACAGTTTGGCTTTAGCCAGTTCTCCAGCTGCTTAACCTCCATGGATGACAACAAAATGGATACTATTCTATTTGGTTACTGGCCCTTCTGAACTAGATCTCCTATATAGGTGAGATCCACACCTTGCACCACCCCATTATTACCCAACCTAACCCAAACCTTTTATGTACCTCTGGAGGGAATCACTGCTCAGGAAACTGTATTGCTGCTTCTGTAATCAATGTTCAAGGTGACATATATGGACTCAATAGAAAATATTGCATTGGATCACCCATTATTTGAGCAACAAAGTTCCATAAATAAGTACTGGATTGAGTTGAGTCTAATATCAAAAAGGCTCAACTAAAGCGATCTCAGTCCAACTAATTAAAGAAAAGGAAAGAAAGAAAGCAACGAACTGATCTCTGCACCTTGATTATCAATAAGAAGATTGTTTATAAAAATTGATTTGTTTTTTAACCATCATTTAGGCAATAATTCATTAATAAGCCTTTCTTCTAATTTCATGTGAAATAATTGCCTCTTTGTTTTCATGTTACCAGTCTTTTATCTTGGTTTTAACCCTTCTTGTCTGTATCATTATTCAGGAGCTTTATACCAAACTTAACAGAATGGCTAGTATCGCACAGCAGACATGTTTGTTGGCAGGGAAAGATTTGCCACATTGCTATTGATGAGACTTACAGAAACGGTCATCTTATGGCTTTCAGAAGACCATAGTTTTTGGGATGATATTGAGGAAGGACCAAGGCCATTAGGCCCTCTTGGTCTTCAACAGGTTTGTACAATTGATAACCATTTAGCTTCTTGTTACATGGATTGATGAACTTGTTAGTTATTAACCCCGTTGTTTCATGTTCAGTTCTGTTTGGATATGAAGTTTGTTATTTGCTTTGCTTCCCAAGGGCGTTATCTATCTCGAAATTTGAACCGAGTTGTTAATGACATCATATCTAAAGCTCTGCAAGCATTTGCTGCAACAGGGATGGATCCATACAGGTAGCTGCAGTAGTTTGGTTTGTAGGTCCTTTTGCCATGGAATTCCATGGTTTTGTTTTAGTTTTATATACAATATGTGTGGGCTATTGTTTATTGATTTTTCCATGGGTTAACAATTCACTTTTTAGCATGGCTTAAAATGAATTGGCAATATCCACCAATTCTGAAACCAACACCCCCCCCCCCAAAAAAAAAAAAAAAAGAACAGCCAAGGTGCATGTGCTTATCCTTTCAAAGTGGGTACTCTTGGCCTCTTATATCTTATCATGAAAAAAAATCCAATTTCTTGTTATTATCTACAGTTAATTTTATTATATATCTTTGGGTGGTGTATACACCTGCCTCCTGAACTCCCTTCTTCCCCGTTTGTTTGGAATATTTAGTTGTGAAACACAAGTGGGTGTGTGTATGGAGGTGTTAATAAGATGTATACATGCATCTTTATTGGCAAGTCTTATCATATAGTACTAGGTTGTGGTTTCTTGCGGCTAATTTTCAATGTTATTGGTGGTTTACAGCGTACTTCCTGAAGATGATTGGTTTGTAGATGTTTGCCAGATGCAATGGAGAGATTGAGCGGAAAAGCTAAGGTTGCCAATGGGGATCGGATCTTAACAGCCCAACTGCTTCTGTTTCAGCCCAATCAATTTCATCTGTCAGATCTCATGAAGTTCTTGATATGCATTTGCTTATCCTTTGTAAAGTAGACAACAATCAAAAATCCTTCGTGGATTTATAAGCAGCTCTTGTATTCATATCTAGCTTTTTAATCATTTTTCTTTTGATTTCTATTTTTTGTCCAATTGCTTATTTTCCTTTTTGTTTTAATAGATGACCCTTCATTGGTAGTTTGGTGTTGTATCATTACGAGGTTAGGAATTCTTTCGTGCTCCGGTTGTGAGAGCATTTGAGTTGTGTAAATGTTGATTTCATCAATTTATTATGAATCCAAATTTGTCGACCACTATGACTGTTTTTGCCACTCCAGCATAGGATCGAGTGCTAATTTTGTTGTTTAATTTGGTATCCAAATTTCTTCAATTTCTCCGTGAGACGTCAGCCCAGTGAGGTCATTATTCATTAAATCCATCTGAAATGCATTGCCTTTGGAAGTGTCCTGTACCTTTTCTTCGTTTCTTCTTTTTTTTATCCTCTTCATCATTCCTAATGTGCATAGAGATTCCATTATCCTTTTATCTCTATGTATGTTTTATGGAACACCTATTTCAAATCAAAAGACTGGAAATCTACAGTGAAACGATGCAACAAGTGATTCACATTTGTACCTAAAATAGGTGATTGTGCACAATTTTTGATTCCCAATCGCCAACAAACACCACCCCCCCGCCCCCCCCCCCCTCCCCCACCAAAAAAAAGGCAAGGACCAGAGGGTTCATGTCTACAACGGGGTAACCTGAATGCTTTACAGCAATCCAACAGCTATATTCGTCATTCTTGGGTAGTTCGTACAATTTCGATGGCATTATGGACCGGGGTCCCAGGTACTGGTGTAGAAAATTCTTCATCTCTTGAGAACATCGCTTCTGTATGATTAAAAACGCTAATTACTGGACTCTGTGGCAGTCCAAGTTAGCATTTTGCGTAACTGCTACTTCTGCAGACACTGATTCCATCCCTCCATTTTTTGCTGATTTTTTTTTGGATACACTAGATGAAAGGTCCTCTTTTTCCTCATCAAAAGTTTTAGCCATGGCAGCGAGCTTTTGCCGGATTGGTTCCTCTGAGACTAGAATATCCCTGTTTTCGTACAGGAAAATGGCAGTAAATATGATGAGAGCCAAAAAAGAAGAAATCCCGGCGATTAAGAACAGACCCTTGAAACTGTCCAAGTTGAGGCTCTCGAGTTTACTGTCAACCCATCTTTTTCTGCGTAGCCAGTTTCCCCCCAAGCCACTCTCTCTCCAGTAGTAGCATTTTGCCTCCCTCTATCACATCTAAGATAGCTTTTGAAACATCAGCAACTAAGGGAGATCCCTTTGGAAATGCCTGCAAGTAAGATGATTAGAATTAAACATGCTATTTTTTGGAAATAACAGAAGAAAAAATTAGAACAGAACTCACAAATCCAAAGCCTTCAGTCCTATTAGTTGGTCCAACCAGGATGTACTTTTTGCAGTACTTTTTGAGGAAGATCCTTAAGTAGGGAAGCTCGTCAACAATGGCAGCAACTCCTCCGTTCTTGCTTCCTTTAGTAAGTGCTTCATCATACTGTTCAATAGTGCTGTAATTCTTGAATTTGGAGGGATCAAACTTCATGTTCTTCAAGAGCCCATCAACGAAGGAGCCCTGCTGGTAGCCAACGTATTCCCCATTCTTGATAAGATCCTTGATGTCAGTGACAGTGGGCTGGAGCTTTGCCACTGTTAACATTGAGGTTAAGCTGGCTGTATAGCTTGATGTCAGCACCAGAACCACAAATACCACACTATTACTACAAATCTCGTCAAGTTGTTGATTACCTTCTCCCTGCAAAGCAAAAGAATCAGGGTTGGGTTGCTTCTTGATGCCAAAAAAAAGATATATCAAATAAATTTTGCCCAAACTCCATATATTTTTTATTTCATTTTCCAAAAAGAAGATCGGAAAAATGGATGGCGATTCCCTAAGAAGTCATTGATAGAGTGACAGTCTCATGTATTAATTTTTGGAATAAACATCATAAACCATTTGAATTTGCCGAATAACTCCTACACAACTAGTTGTCTACGGTCAAATTGCTAATAACCCATTTGAGATGCATGTGGAAGGTCCAAATTGAACTAATCCAAAGTAGGACTCGTACACCACCAGTAGTAAATGGATCATAAACCTGGCCGTCAAAATTTCGAGAATCGGGCCTAAAAATAGTTAACGCGATTTGAGCTAGTCCAACTCGGACAGCCCTTTAAGTGGTCAACAAACCATTAACGGTTTGAAGGAAAGCGGGTGAGTGCCATCAGGAGAATGCAGGTGGTTTAGGAGTTTAAATCTCAAAAACTAAGACATGAGGGGATCATATTTGCAAAAACTTGTACACTTTAGGTGGTGACTGTTTCATTATTCATGTACTTCATTACTTACTGTGGGCAAAAACGAGAGTAGAGAAGGAGAACCATAGCATCATCCCAACTTGCTGGCGAGGCGGTCCTCTGAATGCTTTGTTCACACGGTGCTCCAAAACCCACACCACGAAGCCTGTGAATATGAAAAATGCTCCTGTCGTCAACCAAAGATCTGCCGTTAGAGGTTTCATGAATATCCAAGCGTTCCCCTTCTGGTCGTCCTTGATCGGAACAACCATCGACACCCCTGACTCCGTGTATGGCAATGTAAAATCCACGTACTCGGTCCTGTTCCTCAAAATCGTCACATCCCCCACTACTGCATCGAAGTTCTGCAGCGATCCATTAATTTTTTATTAATTAATTCCTCAACAAGAAAAATTAAAGTGATCCAGAAAGAAAAAGTTTGATTACCCCGAGAAAAACTTGGAAAACGAGATCATCATAGATTTCTGAAGTATTAAAGGGAACAAATTCGTACGGAACAGCATATGGCAGTGAATTTATCACTTCAATGAACACATCTATGCAGAAGCCATTGGCTTTCACAGCATTGGTTTGAGGATCCCTTTCTACTGTCACGAATTCACCTAATCCACCTTTCACCGGAACTCCAACTCTTAACTTCTTCCCGTTCGTAGGAATCGCCCAACCTCTGGGTTGAACTCCGGGATCACCGGGCCATATTATGCCTCCAAGATCATCTTTACTGGTCGTGTAATAATTCTTATTGCCCAGGTTTAGAGTTCTTGATATGCCATGGGTTGGAGTCCAGAACCCAATTTCCCTCTCTCCTTTCCCAATCACATTCACTATCTGAAAGGCTGACGACTGTAACTGCCCGTCAATGATTTCAAAATCACCACTCAACCCATTTCTTATGTGAACATTTCGAAGCCATTTGAGGAATTCCGGTCCCATTTCTGAGGTCCCAATTGCAGCCAAGTCCGTCAAGTTCGAATTCTCCGGAGCAGGATTCTTAAACTCGGGTCGGGCATTACCCAATTTCTCCACCGCCATGGCCAAGGCTGTTGCGCTGTCATACGCCCACAACCCGAACGCGTTCATTTCAAACCTATCCATTTCTGGATATTCTTTTCGAAACATCTTCCTCCACCTCCGTGTGAAATTGTCAAGCCGAATCGATCTCGGAACATAAGGCTTCACTCCTATCACCCCCTGCATCCAATCTATAACATTGGACTCCACGGTGTCCAAGAGATCCGTGAGCGCAGTTGTTATAATCCAAGCATACCCTTCGCTCATCATGCCAACTTCTTTTGCCTTCAAAAATAAGCGCGAAGCAAGCCGAGGCAACGTATGAACCACGAAGACCCGGGTCTGCATCGTCATGAGCAGGTAGAGTTGTTCTTCGATGTGATCATCGGAAGCTGAGGCAGAGATTACGCTTTGGTACGTGACCTGGGTTCTGTTCTGTGCCAAGGCATCGGTTAAGTAGGGAATAATACCAGTGCCATACTCGCTGTCTTCGTAAATTAAGACCACCTCCCTCCAACCGAAGGCCTTGAGCAGAGCTGTGAGGGGTTCCACCTGGAAGTTTCCGCTTTGCGAGACCCGGATGAAGTAGGGGTTTTCACTGTGGGAGAGGGAAGGACTCGTGGCTGGGGAAATTATAGGGACTCTGCTTTTGTTGCCAATGTTGATAATGAAATCTGCTTGGGTGGATCTCGGGGGACCTAGTATTGCCTGTACTCTGACGTTCTTCAACAAGTCTATAGCTGCAAAACAAAGCACCAAAACCTGTGGTCATACAACTCGAGCGAAACCAGAAGCATGGATAAGCATGTGAGTACGAACATAACTACAGAGTCACGCAAGTTTATTAGGAAAGATTGGCCGGAGTTGTCCCCTGGAAGAAACAGAAACGGAAACCAAGAGTACTCGTTCAGACATTGTTATTTAATTCTGTTTTTAAACGCTA